CCACCCTCCACCTGGTGCTCAGGCTTCGTGGAGGCATGCAGATTTTCGTCAAGACGCTCACCGGCAAGACCATCACCCTGGAGGTGGAGTCCTCGGACACCATTGACAATGTGAAGGCGAAGATCCAGGACAAGGAGGGCATTCCCCCGGACCAGCAGCGTCTGATCTTTGCCGGCAAGCAGCTTGAGGATGGCCGCACCCTGGCAGACTACAACATCCAGAAGGAGTCTACCCTTCACCTGGTGCTCCGCCTGCGTGGTGGCCAGTAAGTGCCTGCTCATGGCGCTGCTTCTGTCTCGTCGGTGTACTCAATGGTGTTTTCAGTTTCTGTTTTGGTCGTCTTTCTATCTCTGTTATGTTTGGTTGTGCTTACATACTTAATGATGTGAGTGGCTTTGGAGGTTGGATGATTAATAAGTGAACCCTTAATATCGTGTGTAATTGTGTTGTTCCTGCCATACTTGTGTTGCTATTTGTCGGCAGATTCTTGCATTGAACTGGTCATGAAGTATTGAGGAAATTCTTGAAATGTGGTCTTCTCAAGGATCTTCTCATGCTCTCTCAAATGTGGCCTTCTCATGGATCTTCTCTTCTGATCCTGTGCATCGGTTTGTGTCGATTTACTTAGGGATCGAATCATGTCCAATGGCCATTGGAATTTTATCTATCCTTCTATTTTTCATGATGGAAGGGGAGACTTGGCGCAGTGGTAAAGCTGCTGCTTTGTGACCATGAGGTCACGGGTAAGTCTTGGAAACAGCCTCTTACAGAAATATAGGGAAAGACTGCGTACTATAGACCCAAAATGGTCGGACCTTTCTTCGGACCCTGCGCAAGCGGGAGCTACATGCATCGGATTGCCTTTTTATTTTTCATGATAATTCAGATTTGTTGGCGAAAAGCGAAGAAATAGGTTGTCATTCCATTACAATATCATCAAGAACAATAGAAAGAACTAATATCCTGTTTTGGGATTTGGATTTTGATTAAAATCCTCCTTATGGATGTTTTACGTAGAAATACTATTTTTGCTTATTTTGACGATCTTGATATAGAAAAGATAAAAACGGTTCAGGAATTGTTAAATTTATATATAGGACCCTACTCTACTATTTTTGCTTATTTTGACGATCCCTGATACAGAAAAAATAAAAAAGGGTTCAGAAATTGTTAAATTTAAATATAGGACCCTAGAAGAAGAATACAGGACCTGAGAGGACGAATATGAATATAAAACCCTAGAAGAATCTAAATATGGAATTCTAGAAGACGAATACGAATATGTAACTGAGCCTTTTCCATTTTACCAAATCCTATAATTTTCTTTGTTTTCCTGTGCGTCTGATGATGCATAAGCTTGTTTGGACAAATAAATACGTATTTTTATGTAGAAATACTATATTTTTTCTTTTTTTGACGATCCTTGATACAGAAAAGATAAAAAAGGTTCAGAAATTGTTAAATTTAGATATAGGACCCTAGAAGAAGAACTTGAGCGGAAGACTCAGAAGACGAATATAGGACCCGAGAGGGCGAATATGAATATAAAACCCTAAAAGAATATAAATATGGAATCCTAGAAGATGAATACGAATATGAAAGCTTTGAACTGTCACATAACTGAGCCTTTCCCATTTTTTTATACCAAATCCTACATTTTTTTCTTTGTTTATCTGCGCGTCTGATGATATATATATACAAAAAGAGGGCTACTGTTTTCTTGGGAGGGGATATATAGGGCCGAGGTCGACCGCCAGCCCAACGAACTCATCCAAAGCAAGGCCAAAAGCACAGGGAAACAAGCCTTTCTTTCTTGCCCGGCCCGCGCGTCGAGGCAAGAGGGACCGCGTAGGTTTATTCACGCGCACCTAGACGGTGCTGGTCACATTACGCTGGCTATTGAGAATCTAGTTTCTTGGTCGAAGTAAAGAAGAATTGTCACCCTCCGGTGATTGCTCCGCTGGCGGACCGCGACGGTATATAAGCTGGTCGGGTTTCACGCAAGTAAGCGAGGTGGGACTAATGAAATGGAATTTTTTTTTTGAGTGCTGGACTAATGAAATGGATGGGGGTGGTGATGCCAGCGCTTGTGACTGAGTCTCCGTGTGGTGGGCTTGGCTATCAGCGGGTGGATGGGCCTCCTGGTCTATAGCTGGTGATAGCCGGTCAGCACCTGGCAAAAGGCCTACGAAGCTCACATGATCAAATTTCACTTATTTGTTTTTTCCTTTTGCAAGGAAAATTTAGTTGGTTGATAAAAGGCTATCTTGCAAAACTTAGCAGGAAACATGATTGTTTGCGACGAAAATAACAGTTCTGCTGATACAATATGTCAATCTGGCAGCTTGCCTTACTGCCATTGCCTCCAAAATGGCGAATTACTACATCTCTGTACACCACCCCCCTCCCCCCCTCCAAAAAAATGCCTAGTTTTTAAGAGAAAATGGCGAAAGAATAGTTCGCTTTGTGCTCACCATGCAGCTGTGTAAAAAAAAAATGCCCAGTGTAGGATGGAGTATCCACATTTTGGTGTGCCATCCGGCTCACTGGTAGGGAGTGCCGTGCAGACGAGGGCGGAGATTCTGACTGTTTGAGGCTTGTTTAGAATCAGCGACATCTCATAGATTTGATTTATCCTTTCAAATTTTTTTATTTCGGGGACACTTAGACATTTGAATCCTTTGCATTATACTCCCTCTGTCCCAAAATTCTTGTCTTAGATTTGTCTAGATACGGATGTATCAAAGGACAGAGGGAGTACATAATAAACAATTTCTGTATATGCCTTAATCCAGTGTTCATACCCATGAGTAAAATATTTTTTCAAAAAAAAAAGGCTCAAGAAGAGTCCGGCTTTGTATTAACGAAGTCATCAACTAGTCAGGAATTACATCAACCAATGACCAACAACAAGCAAGAAAAAAATGTCATCTAAATATGCGGATAAACCAGGATTGTTCATCATTATTCACAAATTAAACGGTTGGTAGTGCACCCTTTAAAGAGGGTTTGACACACAATGAACTCCTAGAGCGGCGGTTGATGTCCTGGTGTGCTTGTCTTATGGGGTCCTAACACGACAACTTTCTGACTGTCTACGACAATAGGGTTTGTCCGGAGTAAGGGGCGATGGCGGCGACGCACCTTCGGTTCGCTCCAGTGCTTGTAGTCGTCGCTGGGTGGTCCATGGATCTAAATATTTTTTTTACTCTGATGTGCTTTGTACTACCTTGATAGTTGATGAATAGATTGGAAATTTTTGTCGTAAAAATAAATTAAAATTCCTATGTCCATCTTCTAGCAGAACAACGAGATTGAGTCTGTAAAGCCTCGTGAATCCTACACTTATGAGCCCGTGTATCTTGTTTTAAAAAAAAACTGTACCCTACTGCTTGAACTTCTGTACATTTCGGCCACATGATTTGTTCCTATAACATGGACTTTTGACAGGTGTAGACAGACCCAGAACCTCTACGGTGGGAGGCTGTTTATGTTCTCATGGTGTCAGCTGTTTGAATTCAATCGCAGAATCGAGTGCACATTTCGGAGCAGTATCATGCAAATGTTTGCAATTGCTACATGCTACAGTGTTAACAGTTTTCAACAACAGAAGTTCTTTTTACAATGGGTAACACAACTTATCATAGGAAAAGCTATCTCCGAAAGTAACCTCCATTAGCATCAAAGTAGCATCCTTAAAAAATGAAGGCATGCTCTGTTTGTGCGATTAATTGCGTTGCCTGAAATTATATTGTACTCCCTCCGATTCAAAATAAGTATCACAACTTTGAACCAAGGTTAGTACTCCCCTCAATCCAAAATAAATCTCGCATCTTTGAACTAAGGTTGGAGTAGCACCTTTGAAGTTCAGATCAACATCCAACCATTCCTGTCCCTAGCTCACTTTTTATATAAACTAAAGAGTAGAAATTGTATTGCGTTTGTTGAAGTTGCACACTTTCAACACTACAAATTTAGGCCAAGTGAAATGCAATTCGAGGAGGTTTCCCTTAGCACTAGCAAACATTTCGTTGAAAAATCCTGAACATTTTTTAACTGGCAAATAATTTTTTTAAACGGCAAGCATTTTTTAGAACACTTTTTAAAATTTATGAACAAATTTTGGTAATAGGAGAATTTTTAAAATTACGATCAATTTTTGAGAACGTGACATTTTTTGGAATTCCAGAACATTTTTCGATAATGCGAGCATTTTTAAAATTTATGCACAAATTTTGAAAATAAGAGCATTTTTGAAATTTCAAACTTTTTTATAAAAGGACAAACATTTTTTGAATTGCGAACAAATTTCTAAAACTAAGCCATTTACAAAATTTCTGAAAATTTAAAAAAACCTGAAATTTTTGAAAAATAAAAAACAAAGAAAATAAAAAAACATGAAATCAAATAATCGATCATGAACCATCTAGAAGTCCCCAAAATGGGTGGAACCTTTTAGAGGGTTCTGAAAACCGGTTCTTACAACACAGTTCGATTAGTCGCTAGCCTATGATAAATAGCGGCAATCTGCCACAGAATGGTGCAAATAGGGTTTTCCTAGGAGGGGCCGCCCTCTCATGGAGATTAAAGAGCGAAATTAGGCAAGATTGTTTCCTTGGTGCATCGATGATTGTGTGGGAAGGGGTGATGGACTCAAACATGTTGGAGACTTATGCTTGCAAGGAAGGCCTAGTGCTTGGAGAAGATCTTCTATTGAGCAAGGTGACAATTGCTTCTGACTGACGGAGGGTGATTCGATTCTAAAAAAAAACTAAGAGTGATTCAAGATCTACACGCCTCGAAGCAACTGGGAGACAATTGCATTTTTTAGACAATGCATGAATTGATCCCGAAGGAGATCTTTACTCGCTTGACTTCTTTTCTGGCCTATGAATTTGGCCATGAGCAGCGCACTTGTAATCTGGAGGCTCCTCATAGATTTGCCTATGGCGGCTACTTTAGATCCTTGACGCCATATTTGGCTATCCAATCCCAGTTTAGCTACACATCAGTCAGCTGATTCGAATTCAGCGTCAGTTGATTTTTGAATGAAGGAAGGAGAAGGGAGGACCTCGCTGGAGAGAAGGAAGGAGCTCGCCATCATCACCCCAGTATCTATCTTAGGGTTCAGGATGGGGGCGGTGGTGGACGGCGGTGGTGGGGGG